AAACTGAGGCTCCCAGCTTTACCTGCTGCTCAGCTTAAGCTGCATCCAACATAAACTCTTCTCATGGTGTCTTAGGCATTTTAGGCCAGAGCTCAGCCATCAGGCTCAAATGAGCTTCCCCCATAGGCTGGCTGGTCTTAACTGTAGCTTGGAGAGTTGGTCATCAGAGCTCATATAAGAGCTACTGCTCCTCTGCATTGAAAAAAGATGGTCTGATACGTTTAGATAAACCTCATTGGCTCCCTTTGCAGGTTTCCTGGTAACCAGATCTTGAAAAAGTGCATAAATGATAAAAACTATACAACTCTATTAAGGAATGAATTTCTAACCAGAAAAAGAATTTCCCCATTGTGGGACATTAAAGGGATCTTCTATATGGAAAGCCGCTCAGCTGACAGGAAATATTCTCCTGTCTCAGTTTTTTATCAACTTATTTTTACTTCCTACAGTTAAATTCTTTATAAAACCTCACAGATCTAGAACACAAAGTATTTACAGAGCTCCATCACAGTTTGGTTTATATCCACTTTGGGTCATAAAAACTATAGTTTTTGTTATTCTTTAACAAGAAAGTCATAAATATTGCATCATACATTATATCAATGCTGTGTGTCACTAAATTTATAAAGCAGTGAAAAGCAAAACTTTGCTCTTTAATAACCTTCATAAATTTATCTAGCAAATCTTTGATGGGGTAAAGAAGAAAATCTAAGGCAGACAGACTTTATTGTCATCTTGTACACACACAGTGTATACAAAAAAAAGATTTTGTTCATTACAGGATATTTCCATTTTTAAAGTGCAGCAGTGATAAAATGACTGGTATATGATTTACAGTTTTTTTTAAAACCAGAGCTTAGAAGTCTAATGGCAAAATAAATCCTATTTATTTTAAATGATAAAGTTAATATCAACGATTGTAGAGCTGATTGATGCTTTGTTTCCATTTTACAGTCACCTTTTATGTTGATGTATTGGATTCATGATTCTTTGTGTTTTAACTAAAGCTGTGCGGTATTTAGAGCTAATTATATCATGTGTGTGTTGTCAGGTGTTCCCATCTCCTCTGCAGTGGCAGGTGTCGCCATCGGTCTCATCTCCAAAGCTAATCCAGACAAACCAACGGAGATCGAAGACTACAGACTGCTGACTGATATTCTGGTAGATGGAGCGTTTTCACATTTCACAGTTTTACTTTTTATTTAGAAGAAGATTGTCTTAAAATGGGTTTATATTCCTTGGTAATCATTTCAGAAATGTTTAATATTTGCCATTAATGTTTTCCTCAACAGGGAATAGAGGATTATCTTGGAGACATGGACTTCAAACTAGCAGGAACAAACAAGGGCATCACTGCTTTACAGGTAATGTTTTCAACCTACCATGAGCAGGAAGAATACGGCTGCCTATTGGGGACAAACTCATGTTTATTTTTCCTGATTATAAGAATAAACTCATAAGAGTAGGTCTAATAAAATAGATTTTAAACTTTACGAGAAAAGAGTTAATAAGGTTTTCTTAGAGTTTTGAAGATCTGGAGCTTTATTGTTAATAGACGAAGACTGATTTTTATTAATAAAAGTGCTTCTCTATTCTCATAACAATCAAAATCATTTTCTCGTAATATTTCAGCATAATTCTCATTCTCAGGACTTCTATTCTGGTAATATTTAAACTTTATTATAACATTACAACCATTAATGTCACAACTTTATTTTCGTAAAACTTTTTTCTAGTAATACAAATTTCAGAATTGTACTAGTTTAATCTTGTAGTATCATTACTATTTTTCTAATGTTAAAAATGTTTTCTTGAAGATCTAATATTGTGACTTTATTCTCAAAATATTGCTTTTATTTTCACTATTTAAAAAATAGACACATCTTTTCGTACTGTGGAAAATTAGTAATTGCTCCTTCTTTTTTGGAAACACATTTCCCATGTTGGGGTTTTATTGCAAATTATGTCTAATGTTAGATTGATTAAAACCTTCAAATAAATAGATAATGCTAATAAATAAGTATAAGAGCTCGCCACAAAATATTAATTCTGAGTTAAAATCCAATTGCCTTTGACTATGGAAGTTTGCTGTAGATTAATCAGCTTGGTGAGGACAGTGGATATTTTATTGTTCTTACTGTTCTGTATGGATCTGTTGCCATTGCTGCTTGTCAGCTGCTACTAATGTCTAAATGTCTCAATGCTAATTGAAGTTCCTTTTCTTTAACTTCAAGGCTGATGTGAAGATTCCAGGTTTACCTCTAAAGGTAGTCATGGAGGCGATTCAGCAGGCCACAGGTATACCAACTCCTAAAGAGACGACAGATGACTTAACAAATCTGTAAATGTAACTCTGTGTTTTGGAAAAATGTGCTTCTGTTTAGTGGCAAAGAGAGAAATCTTGGGCATTATGAACCAATGTATAGCAAAACCCAGAGAGAGGAGAAAAGAAAACGGACCTGTTGTTGGTAGGTTTTGTGTTTTAAGGTTAGAAGAGTCTGTGTGTTTGGAATCTGTGTAGATATGCTTTTTGGATTCTAATAGTTTTTCTTCCTTTTATTCCCTTTCTCAGAAAATGTGCGGGTGCCTGTGTCTAAAAGAGCTCGTTTTGTTGGTCCAGGAGGGTATAACCTTCGTAAGCTTCAAGCACAGACAGGTACTGTTCGAGTAATGAAGCTGTGTCTGCAGAATATATTCAGAGTGCCTTGCAGAAATATTAAATCAATCAATTTTTTTTAGATTCAGAATTTAGTTATACAAGAACAACAAATTAGAGAGCAACTTATTTGGGGTTTATACAATAGAATGCTGTTTGTGTAATTTGCGTAAAAAACATGACGTAAGTCGTGCTACGCTAGGCTCTGGTGCTGCCTGGAATCGTTAAGATAATCATTAAGCAAGCTGCCAAACATTGCCATGGAATTGGAACACAGAACCGGTTCTGAACAGGAACCAGTTTTCGATTCCCATCCCTACACTTGATACGAGTAGCATGCTTGTTTTGATCTGTTAGAAAAGAAAATCCAGTGAAAGACAGTGGAATACAAGGGCTAAGAAGACTAGAAAAGGGGATGTTTAATCACTGCAGTCTTTAAGCACTAATTAACAAGGACACATTTTCTTTCTTCCCATCAAGGTGTCACAATAAGTCAGGTGGATGAGGAGACTTTTTCCGTCTTTGCCCCGACACCGGGGGCAATGAACGAAGCCCAAGACTTCATCAAAGAGATCTGCAAAGACGATGTGCGTCCTCGGTTGTTTGTACCACTGATTCTCTGATTGCATTCCTCACATTCCTCAACCTAAATCATCAATATTTTATAAATCTATATCTGAGCTGCGATTCATGCAACAAGTTAATACTGGTGGGTTTTGCTTTTGTTTTCTTTGGCAGCAAGACCATCAGTTGGAGTTTGGGGCTGTTTACACTGCCACAATTACAGAAATAAGGTATGCAAACATCACCGTAGTGTTTTTAATAGAAATTAGAAGCAGTGCTGTGTAATTTGGCAAGGCAGCTTTATTTATGCAGCTCATTTAATGCACAAGGCAACTCACTTTGCCCCACAGCAACACCAACAACACAATAAAACAAATTCAATCAACACAAATATATTTTTTAAAAATCAATCAATGGCCATAGGCAACACTGAATAGGCATGTTTTGAACCTGGACATAGACAGGATTGAGGCTTGTTTTACGTCCTCACTGAGGTTGTTCCAGACCTTGACTGCATCAAACTGAAACGCAGCATCTCCATGTTCAGTGGTGACTAGGGACCACCATGAGACCCCTCCCTAAGGATCTCAAGGCCTGAGGTGGTACATATGTCTCTAAAATTTCAGAGATGTACTTGCTAAACCCTGATAAGACTTGTACAAAAGTAGAGCTGTTTTAAAGTCTATTCCCTGAGCCACAGGAATCCAGCGCAGAGACCAGAGCACTGGGCTAATATGGTCATATTTCCTGGTTATAGTCAGCAATCGGAGCAGCAGCATTTTGAAAAAACTGCATCTGCATCTAACAGCTCATTTGGAAAGGCCAGTGCACAGGCCATTAAAATAGTCTAACCTGCTGGAGACAAATGCGTGAATTACAGTAACCTCTCCAAGTCTGGTTTAAACATTAAGTTTTTCAATTTAGTAATGTTTTTTAGATAGTAATAGGCTGCTAACATAATGGACTTAATATGACTGTTGAAATTCAGGTCCGAGTCCATGATTACGCCAAGATTTCTAACTTGGTTTTTAGGTTCAGTCTTAGGATGACCAATGGAAACTTCTCTAGGTTTTTGTTGTCCAAAGACAATTATCTCAGTTTTATCCGTATTTACGTGGAGGGAGTTATTTTGCATCCACACACTGATCTGTGTGATAAAATGGCACAGAGTATCTACTGGTCCACGTTCCCCAGCCGTCAGTGAAACATAGATCTGAGTGTCGTTTATGTAATTGTGATAGGATGCCTTACTAGTGGAAATTAATTGACCTAATGGAAGCATGTACAGATGGAACAAGAGGGGGTCCAGAATCAACCCCTGGGGAACCCCACAGGTCAATGCCATTTGGTCTGAGACATAGTTTCCCATTGCAACGTAGTAAGTAATATGCCAAAACAGGCAGCTGATGTGGAAAAATACATCTTTGTGCTAAATGAACTAATTTGACGCACAGATTTAGCTGTAATTATCTACTGGCAGGCCTCAGATATTCTTAATTTCCTTCTGGCATTGTGAGCTTTTATAGGTACTGATGGCCTTTTCTTTCTTCTTTAGGGACATTGGTGTCATGGTCAAACTTTATCCCAACATGAGTCCAGTCCTGCTGCACAATTCCCAGTTGGACCACAAACGGGTTAGTACATTTGCTTCTGTTAAAGTTTATTCTCAATCTAAGAAAAGGTTACAGTTTAACTGGTGTCTATCATCCTTGTTATAGATCAAGCATCCAAGTGCTTTAGGACTAGAGGTGGGACAGGAGATACAGGTAGTTTTTCCTTTTATGCTTTGTTTGTTAAAATGAGCTTCATGCTTTTATTCTCTGTTGCTAAGCTGTAATTTGTGCTGTGATCAGGTGAAATACTTTGGACGGGATCCAACAGATGGAAGAATGAGACTCTCTCGGAAGGTGCTCCAGTCTCCTGCTGCCACTGTTGTAAAGACATTGAGTGAGAAGCAGAGTATCACCATGGGTTCCAGCAGCATCCACAGGGACGGCAGTGATTCATGACCTGGTGCCACTGCAGGGTTTTTATAGGAAATATGGATTCACACTGTGATGCTGTTCATGTAAAAAAAAAAAACAGAGCTTCTTTCTGTGAACTCAAAAAAAAGACTGCAGAGTGTGAAGATGACAGGTGCTGATTTACAAAACAAGCAACCTGGCGACAATCTGCCTCAGAACGAGTCTAAACTTAAAGAGAAGTCTTGCTTCCCTTTTAGAAGATGGTGTCCTTATAGTGATCTTTTTGTATTTTCTCACTGCATGAAACCATTCAGAGATCTGTTCCCCCTCATCACAGACAAACATCATTTCCATTGTTCACACCTGAGTTACAATAATGGCTCTTCTTGCTTGGGATCTTCATATTTAATATCCAAGTTTCTGATGTGCTCTTAAAGGGTGTTCGGATGAAAGCAGTGATGCAACCATGTGGAAGACGTAGCAGAGGCATTTGTCCTGTTATGTTTATAGTTTGTTAGTAATCTGTAAATAAAAAGTTTGCAGGTTCTTTAATAGTACGATATATACTGTGATTTTTTTTATTGTATTTATCTATTGTAAGCTTTTGTTAAGTTTAACAAATACATTTTTTTCTGAAAAAAGAGAAACTGTCTCATAATAAATTGTGCTAAGAAATAAGAAATATTACTAATTAGAATAATCTAATCAAAATGAGTTTACACCTCAAAAAAGTATCATATAAAGACATAAACAGAAAAAAAATTAACTTTCATTATTCTGCACTGGAAGAAGATTGAAGTGTTCTTTTTTTCCATTTATTACAGTCTGGATCAGTCCAAATCCATTCTTTGAAGTCCTTCTTTTGAAAAATATACATATGAATCTCGATAAGTGTTTCGTACATGAAAAAGATTTAGGAATCCTGGAATATGCATCAAATGTACGGACGTATTTTTTATGCACCTAAAACTAAAATGTGAACTTAAACCTCTTCTCTAGGTGGCTCTGTTGCTATTCTGTTATTGACCTATAGGTGGCGCCTGGGATTCTCGGTTTTGCTCCGCCCACCTGACGGCAGTTTGATTGACATCTGCGAAGATCGGATTACAAGATGGCGGTCTGTAGATGTTAGCGAGGAGGCCGTCAGAGTTGTTGTGCTTTCTTTGCATTTAACTGTTTTATCATCAGGCCTGTTGCTTAGCCCCTTTATATCGTAGACGTATTGTGTTTATGAAGTTGGCCCCAAAATACAGGATTGCTGCCGTAAACCGTTATTAGACGCGCGTGTTTCATAACATGCAGGTGAGAAAAAAGTTAACAGGTCGAGGAAAACACTAGACGGGGTGAGCTGATAGCCTGTTAGCTCCGACTCGGTTAACCATGTCGGACACTCGGCGGCGGGTGAAAGTGTACACCCTGAATGAAGACCGACAGTGGGACGACCGGGGCACTGGACATGTTACGTCCTCGTTTGTGGAACGACTGAAGGGAATGTCGTTGTTAGTTCTAGCCGAATCTGACGGTAAGTTCCTCGTTAGCTTAGCCGCGTTTACATAGCGCTAGCTAGCCTTAGCATGCCTGCCACAGCTTGTTCGGACTCGGGGTTTTCAGTAGATGATTAATTGATTTTATAAGTCTGTTGCAATAAAAGCGAACTGACTTTGGGGGTTAAAGTTGGTTATTCCGTTCATTCAAACCAATCTTTGTGTATTTTTTAGATTTCCATTATTTCCTTTTTGTGTAATAGACATCCACATAGTTAGGGGGTGCGCTTCGAAGTCTCGTTGCACACGTAGAAACTTATTATAATAGGCTTCCCGCATTCGCTTGTATACAGATTATTTAAAGTTTTTTAATATTTGATCAACTTATTGAAAATGTTATGTTTTGCACATGTTATTCTATTAACAGGCTAGTTGCCTGCTTTTTTTTATTTACCCGTTCTCTTTTACTTTTTCAGGTTCATTATTGTTGGAGTCGAAGATAAGTCCGAATACCGCATATCAGAAACAACAGGTAAACCCTTTATACTGGGATTGTTATTGTTAGGGCTGCATCTAACGGTTTATTTGCATATCGATTAATCTGTCGATTATTTTTTGATTAATGATCAAATAGCCAAAGGTTCCTTAAGGTGAAACATTTTTTTTTTTCACCTGAGGAGTTCTGGATAGAAAATATTGACAAAAGAAAACATTAAATGCAAAATGTTTATATATTTTGTCTTACAACCTTGGTAAAATTACTGCTGTAAGTGGATTGCTCTATCAGCTAAAGGTATGTTTTACAGTCCCTATACGTCAGTCAACGATTAATAGTTGACGATTATTTCAATAACCAGTAAATCTCGATTAATCCGATTCATTCTTTCAGCCCTAGTTATTGTGTATAAAAAACGTACCAAGTTAATTATCATTTTTAAAAACCATAAATAAATGTGAATTTGTTATGGATCTGAGTCAAACAATTTTTTACTGTTTTCAAGGCTGCACTTTAAAAAACCAAAGAAATTGTCTAGAGAGCTGTTCTTAATGAAATTTCTATTTGTTTACATTTGTGTATACAAAATGACAAAATAAATCTTTCTAAGTCTAAACTGGATATTTCTTTCTCTTGCTTCTAGGACACGCTGATTGTCTGGTCAGAAGCAGATAATTATGACCTTGCCTTGAGTTTCCAGGAAAAAGCAGGCTGTGATGAGATCTGGGAGAGGATTTGTCAGGTATTTTTATTTTTTATAAAGAACTGATTGTTGCCTTTGTGTTCTGTGACAATTTATCATTATTTTCTCCTTTATTGTTACTGCTGTGAATCTGTAGATGTTCTTTCTATTCTATCCTAACCAGCCATGCAGTCTTAAGTCATACCTATTTTAATTAACTCCTGTAGGAATGCACTTCAGCACCAGTTTTTCTTCATTTGTATATATTTTAATTAAATATTGAGACGGTTTATGGGAGAGTGGTGGCCTAGTGGTTAGGGTCCCTTAACTCCACACTACTCCCCGGGCGCCGCACAATGTCAACCCATTGCTTCTCAAGGCGATGGGTTAAATACACAGAGTCAATTTTGTTGCTCTGTACTTGTGACAGTGTAATGACAATGAAAAGCTGGGCAAAACTGGGGATTTATTATTAAATGCAGGTCTTAGCTGCTAAATAAGATGGTATTTTTTTAAATTCGTGATCAAAACCCCATTTTTGTATTGAAATTGCCATAGTGCAGATAATGATACATCATAGATAATCAACACTACCTCAAGTTGCTAACTGTAAAGATGCTTTCATTTTATTGATTTGTGTAGTTACAGCCAAACATTTCTTACTTAGGTTCAAGGTAAGGACCCTGCTATGGACATCACTCAGGACCCCATCGACGAGTCGGAGGAAGACCACTTTGAAGAGATTCCAGAGACCACCCACCTGGTCGAGCTCCCGCCTTGTGAATTAGGTCGGCTTGAAGAAATTGCAGATCTGGTGACTTCTGTCTTGTCCTCGCCCATTCGGAGGGAAAAACTTGCCCTGGCGCTGATGAACGAGGGATACATCAAGAAACTGCTGGGTCTCTTCAGAGTTTGTGAGGACCTGGACAACCGAGAAGGCCTTCATCACCTCTATGAGATTGTGCGAGGCATCTTGTTCCTCAACAAAGCAGCCCTGTTTGAGGTCATGTTCTCTGACGACTGTATCATGGATGTGGTGGGCTGCCTCGAATACGATCCAGCTCTGGTTCAGCCAAAACGTCACAGAGAGTTTCTGACCAAGACAGCAAAGTTCAAGGAGGTGATTCCCATCACAGACTCAGAGTTGCGGCAGAAAATCCACCAGACCTACAGAGTTCAGTACATCCAGGACATAATCCTGCCCACACCCTCAGTCTTTGAAGAGAACTTCCTGTCCACACTCACATCCTTCATCTTCTACAACAAAGTGGAAATTGTCAGTATGTTGCAGGTAAGAACCCAAACAGGTTTACTTACAGTGTAAGGAAAAGTGATAAGTTGATGTATTTTGAAAAAGTTTCTAATTTATGATGATTTTTGCTATTTTTGTATCCAATCTTTACAGTCCAGTGTACTATTAACAATGAATGTTATGCTGTGCTGCTGTGACCTTATTAAATATGGCACCCTTCCGTTTTTCCTAATAAAAAAACCCAGCCTGCAAGGTAAATGACTGCTAGAAATTCCCTCTTAAGTGGGAACACATTTTATGACAATATTTAAAGAAAATACATGGATTCCTTCAATGTATACAGAGTTATATGGCTGTAACAACTATATATTTATCTTTCAAGTTATAATTTGTCTGTCAAAAGTGCTCTCTAGCTAGAGATCAAACAAAGTTATTTAGAAAACATGGAGTGAATTGGTCAGGATGCATTTTAAGCTTCGGGGTTCTTAGGTGATCTGTTGCAGTAATTTGTATTGCACAACTTTTTATGTTACTGACATTCTTAAAGTGTTTGTGTATTCTCTGTGTTTCAAGTCTAATCTGTTCAGATTATATACATATTTTAAGGGCATCTCTGTTTTGATCAAATGTTTTTAGTACCTGCCTGTCTTATTTGGCTTAAAATTAAAATATATTAATATAACATTCCTGGTGTTTGTTTTGAAACAAAGTCTTACGTATTGGGGAGTAATTGTCAGAAAAAATCAAAGGTAAAGCGAAGGAGCAAAGTGACATTAAAGAAGTGATGGGAGTATAAATTCTCTGTTAGTCTTTTCCAACTGTTCTTATACAGGTGATTGGAAACATTTCTAGAGGTAATCATCATGGTAAGCGCCAATAAATGTCAGGATTGGGTTTTTATTTTATTTTAGTTTGAATCTATCTCAAAGTTGTCTTTATCTTGTTTTCTCCATTTCTAAAATGTTTTCTGATGTTGTCGCAGGAGGATGAGAAGTTCCTCACTGAGGTCTTTGCACAGCTGACAGATGAAGCCACAGAAGAAAGTAAAAGACGGGAATTGGTAAGTCAGTAAAACTTAAAATGTAACGACTCTTTTATTTTAAATTATTGTTGAAATGTGCTTTAACTTTTTTCTCCTTTTACTCTGCAGGTGAATTTTGTTAAGGAATTCTGTGCTTTTTCCCAAACATTGCAGCCACAAAACAGGGATGCTTTCTATAAAACTTTGGCAAATCTCGGGATTTTACCTGCTCTTGAAATAGTGATGGTACGTTGTTGGCGCTTCTGTGAATGTGATTAAAATCTTATGATCAGTTTGTCCAAACATTTGAAGAATGAAAACTCCTAGGCTACACACATGGCATGATCTTTGCTTTAATCAAAGAATTTCTTTTAAATAAATATTTTTTAGCTGTATGGGTGTTAGAAACCTCAAAATTAGAATCATCATAAAACCAACTTAAGACTTTAAATACAGCGATGTTCACTGGGGCGTCCATTTCTAAACGGAATGGACAAATTACATTAATCTGAAAATCTTACATACTCTGTCACTTAATAATTTTAGAATCTTGCTGTGTGAAATAGCCTTTAATAAGAATGATCATGCCTGATCAAGCAGCTTCCTGTTGATGGATAATCATGCATTCAGGTTACCAAACATCCAAAAAGGCAAAGATTAGATAAACCCCCTAAGGTGACTTCCCTTTATTCTGCTGATGAATCATTTAAAACTGAAAATGATGCATTTTTTTGTATTTCTTCTAAAACGTCTTGATTTTCTGTAGGGAATGGATGACTTGCAGGTGCGAGCAGCGGCTATCGACATATTCTCTTATCTGGTGGAATTCAGCCCATC